TATGGTCTCCTTTGTATAAAAGAAAAAAATTTCCCACGTATACATGTGTGGAGACAGAGATCTGGAAGGATAGATGCTGATTAAGATTTGTTATTTTTGATCCTGGTGAGATGATACTTGCTCATACTCCCAGCTTCAGAAGGGGCTGAGGCAGGCAGGAAGATTGCTTGAACTTGAACTAAGGAGTTTGGGAACAGCCTGGACAACATAACAAATCCTTGTCTTTAAAAAATTAAAAATTTGGTTATTTTTGAGGGACTACCATTCTTGGTAACTTTACTTTGACTTTATGAAATTCTATATTTTATGCAACAATTGTGAATTTCTCCTGAAATCAGAAAAAAATGTTAGAAATATTCTTTTTAAAAAAGTTACTACAATGGAAAAGGAGTTAATGTGGGCATCAGCATTGATTGATCTCCCCTGACTCCTTGGTATGACATAAGCTGTTCTTGGGTTAAGTCAGGAGTGAGTGTTGGGGTGGAGAGTCGGGAGGCATAAGAAAGGATAATGGAGAGGGGCTGGGGTTGTGGCTCAGCAGTAGAGCGTTCACCTAGCATGTACAAGGTCCTGGGTTTGTTCCTCAGCACCACATAAAAAAATAAAGGTATTGTGTCCAACTACAACTAAAAAATAAATCTTAAAAAAAAACGGATAATGGAGAAACTCAAGGATTCCATTCTCCTTGAGATCTTCTTAGGCCCTTTAGTTTTCCTTATCATAAGAGATTTGCCTTGTTAGCTGGGCATCCTTACAATAAGCTTGAAACATAACCCTTAACAGAGGGAAAATGTGGCCCCTTAAGGAAAAAACTTGGCTTCTAAGAAATGGCATGCTTTCCCTGAGGAAGAAATATTACTATGTGAAGAACCTAGTTTTATATTTTAACCAACTAGCCAGCATTGTTCTTACTGATAAGTCCTAAATGAATTTTAGAAGAAAGCACTTAAAATATTGACAGGTCTATTTCAAGGAAATAGCTATGTATTTAAATGGTGTATGATTGGTGGTACTTCTGGTTCTCTGCCCTATTCTCTCCTAGAGTTAACATATCTTACATACTCCATTTCAATTTAAAGTCACATTGGTTTTTTAATCGTGTATACGTGTGTGCACACAGGTACGTACATTGTGTCAATAGCAGCTACCTGGTTTACTTCTCCTTCTGTGACTGGCTCCTCCCTCACTTCCAGACCCCTCTTGTCAGGGGTTCTTTAATAAGCCCCTGAAGGAGATCTAGTCAGATCTGTTTGGATCTGACTTTTTGTTACACTAAGATTTTTTTCTCTAATTATATCCAGAGAATGACATAATCTTATTTGATAAAAACTAATCTTTACATGACACATTATTTGGCAGGTACTTTCTAAATATGTCATATATATTAGCTCATTTAATTCTCACAGAAAACTATAAGATAGGCATCTTTATATCTCCATTTCACATATGAGGAAATGAAGACAGAAAGAGGTGAAATAACTCACCAAGTTTACCAGCTAGTAAGTGATGAAGTTGGCATCCCAATCTATCCGAATTATTTGGCTTTAGTCTGATTTCCTAATCACTGTGTTCTACTTCCTCATTTCATGTTACTATTTATAAAATTGTTGTGTTATAGGTTTTCTGTCATCTTGATCTTGGAAATAACAAATCAAAACACAGGCATTAGGTGTTCCAATTCCTAAGGTACCAGAATTATAAATGTTAATTGAATCCCCTGAAAAAGCACAAAGATCAAACATCTGTCTTTTTTTATAAGGCTAGTCACCATAAAGGAAGATAATTCTGTAATTCCTAAGGGCTCTAAATGTCCTTCCTTTAATTGAGTTTTGTGATAGAAATGAATTATTTGACATCCTGGAGCATCTTCTGTGCTGATTTTAATAGCTGTAATGACATAATTCTATCTTAAATTTTATTAACTGACAAAAAGATGATGTTAAATGCAAACTTTGTTGATAGACAATCATGGAAGGGAGGGTTAATTGAAACAGAAATCTTTGGTGGTCACTTAAAAGGGAAAAACAATTGGCTTTTCATTTCCAGAACTACCTTGTGAATTCGATGGGTACTCAGCCTCTTCTACTGTTCTTATTACAATTGTACATGTGTGCCAAGGATATTTTAAAGTGAAAAAATTTTCAAATGTCCAAACTAAAATAATTGTTCCTCCCCTAGGACCTGAAAATTGAGTTGACAGAAATTTAACTTTAAAATAATAGCCTTAAAGTTGGTTGGGATTTAGAAGTTAGACAAAGACAGTGGTTGATTATAATAATAAGTTACTGCACAGCAGGGAGGTAACAGGGAGGTCAGAAAACACTGTCGACATTTGGGGGTGGAAACTAGAAGTGTTGGAAATATGGGAATCAAGTTGAGATTGGGTATCAAAAGATTTGGGACCTAGGAATGAAAATCAGAAGAGGAATAAAAAATTTGGGGGTATAGGGGTGAAAAAATGGAATACAGAAAATTTTAAGGCTTAGAAGTTGAATTGTGAAGATGAAGATCCATGGCTTGTGGATAAGCTAGTCAAGTTGAAGCCATAGTTTGAAGTTGCCAACACTCTGGGCACAATGAAATATCTTGAACTGGATTAGACCTCCCATTGGAAGCAATTATTGAGACAGGACAATTATACAGACAGGACAAACTGTCAGTGTATATTGTATTGCAAATATGCAATATATATGCATATATATCCAGATATTATATATATAGAACTCCAAATAAACATATATTTTTGATAAACATATATTTTATTATAAAATAAACATATTTTCTTTTCTTTTATTAAACATATATTTAATAGCTATTATACAGATATGGAATACACACATCACCCCAGACATATAAGTATACATATTAACAACTGAGAGCACTGGAATACAACCAATGAAGGCAAAACTAATTGGCCACAATCCTTGAGAGAATTAAAGCACAAGTGGCAAGATATATATTCACTCAGCACCCCCACCCCCAGAGCATTTTCTAAGTGGCAGGAGGGAGTAACAGAGATAAATAGAAACATCTCTACAGGACAGAAGCAGAGTTTGGAGCTTGGGAACAAATGCAAGTGTGATTTGAGGGCCAAAAGTCTAAAGAGAAGGGAATGGCAGAATATGAACCCCAAAATCTATTTACAAATTCCCAATAAATCATCAGGTAATTCCTAAGATGCATAGACACAAGGGGGAGACTTCAAGAAATCCAGAAGAACAGCAGCACCTAAAGAGTTAATCCAAGATTTTATCAGCTGCATAACGCTGGTGAAATAGAGATTAGAGGGCAAAATCCATAAGGTTTGGGGTGGTGGCATAAACACCTGGGTTTCAGTTGTAAGACCTAAGAAAGACCATGACCTAGGATTAAGGACAAAACTGAAATACACCGGCATTAAAAAGCCTAAAACCAAATCCCATTGGGATTGAGGTAATTTACTTTATCTACATACTTGTAAGAAAACTTAACTTTGGAGAAAGCTACTATCATTCAGAAGCCTCTATAGTTTTTCTTTCACATTGTATGAATTCAACAAGAAATTACGAGACATGGGAAAGGAGGAGGCAACAATCAAAACAGTGTCAAATACCAAAAACCTAGAGGATGCAAATGATTGGGCTATTGAATTACTGGATAGGATTTTAAATAATATGACTAAAATTWAAAAAAAATAGAGGAAAGAAATTTACTAGAGACTTGGAATCTATTTCTTTTTAAATGGAAGGGAGGGGTTAAATGAAAAATCTAAAACTAAAATACAATTGCAAGTCAAATTAATAATTCAAGAGGGGTTGTATTACAGCTCAGGCACAGCAGAGCAGTTTCTACCATATGGGTGACAGGTTAGTAGAAAATATCCAGATTAAAGCACAAAAATTTTAAAAAAGACAAAAAAATGCAGAAAAGATTGAGACATAAGGAATAGAGCAAAATGTTCTAACATACATGTAATTCAAATATATATATGAGGGAGGGTGGGAGGGGGAGAGAGGGAGGCAGGATGGGGAAGGTAGAGAGAGGAAATAGAGCAATATTTAAAGAAATACTTGCCAAGATMCAAGATAAACACCAGGGTTAGTGACATCAAATTCAGATGGGGATGGGGTGTGTGTGTGTGTGTGTGTGAGGAGACAAAGGATCAACAATCAGACTAATAGCTGACTTCCAAAGAAACAATGGCAAACAGAAGACAATCTTACATACTGAAAGACTGAAAAAAAAAAAAAAGCCTGTGTGGAGTTTTATACCCAGCAAAACTATCCTTTAAATATTAAGATGAAATAAATATGCTTTCAAGTTAACCAACGCAGAATTTGCAAGCAGACTTATTGAAATAAGAGCCCTGAACTATATATAGTTAGTAGCCCTGAATCATAAGGATTATTTCAGCTAATTTTTCTTTTAAAACACTAAAGCACAATGGCCCCAATGGAATTGTTCAATTTCCAGAGAAATAAAGAGCACCAGAAAGGCCTGATGTCGACCTCAGGTCTACTCCAAAATATTTTCATTCCAGTGGAATCATTAGGTGTAAAATACACGCTCATATTTTAAAAACAGACTCCTACAAACAAGGAGTCAGAGGCAAGTCAGAATTTCACAATGTTTTACACCTCGTAGGTACTGTTTAATTTTAACCAAAATAAAGTTGAACAATTTTAAAGAAGCAATGGAAGTTAGGCTCAGCGGGTCAGCAGTCAAGGGCAGCAGTTGGCATAAGGGTGGTAAAGGACGAGGAAATCCGTGGCGACACAAGAGCTGAAGCCAAGAGCGATATTTGTGCTGCCAGAGCGGAGCACCGGTGGCTCAACGAAGACGTGGCGTCCACGTAGAGAGTTGGGCGCGGTACTTGGGTCAAGGGCAGGGTCGGAGGTCACGACCCTGGCGGCGCATCGGTTGGGGGCGGTTGGCTGGCCCGCCGGAGGCCCCGCCCCTCCGCGCGCCGCCCCGCCCCCAGCCCCGCCCGCCGCGCGCCCGAAACGCCGACGCGAGCGGCGAGGGACGCGAGCGAGCGGCGCAAGGACCCCGGGGTGGCGGGCTCCGCGCGCCCGCCTTGTCCCTGCCCTCGGGCGCTCGGGCTGCGGCCGGCGCCGCCTCCTGGGAAGATGGCGCTGCACTTCCAGGTCAGTGCGTTCTGCGCCGGGCCCACGCCCCGCTGCCCCTGAGCCCGTGGGACGCTGCGGCGGGAGGCGCAGGGCCGAGGAAGGCGGTGGAGGCCGCAGGGCCGCGGCCGGAGCCGCAGCCTCCGCGCCCGTCCTCGCTGCGCACTGTGGGGCCGCGCCTGGGCGGGCGACAGACCGGCGGGACTCTCCCGGCGCGGCGGCGCCGGAGGGCGCGGACCGCGGCTGTGGCGGCGCCGGGGCAGGTGGAGTCCGCGCCGCGCAGAGGACCAGCCTCCGCTTGGCTGCCGCGGCCGGGACCCCGCAGGGTTCGGTCCGCCGGGGCGGCGGGGCCGGGGCTGTGGGGAGTTGCGGAGGAGGGCTCGGCGCGGGCTGGCCGGAGAGCAGCCGGGGGCCGGGCGGGCGCGGAGCTGCCGCGCTGGGACGCGCGCTGCGGGGCACGGCCCGCGCAGCTTCGGGCGCCCCCGACGCGGCGGTTCAGTTACTCTAGYCAGCAGCACCCTTCAAGCGGCCCTTCTGTGCCTCAAGCACTGTGCCAAGTGTGGGGATAAAGGGTGACATCATACTATCGGTGCCCTCCTAGAGCTTGCAGGTAATTACAGCACACGTGAAAAATGTTGTGGTAGAATTAGTCACGGGGGAGCAGGGAGCACCGAAAAGGGGGTGTGTGGGTGTGTGTTGGGAGGCTGTGAAGTGCAGCTACTGTGCTTCTCGGAGGAGATGCTTGAGCCTCCACGCATCCTCTCCTTAGTTGGTTATTGAGTATTGACCATACAGCTTTGAGCACACTTCATGAGTTCCCCTCTCAGGAAACTTGCAGTCTAGCGGGCCTTGAAACAAATTAGATGGTGGCCTGGTAAAGAAGGGAAAGCTGTAGAGACAAAAGTACAATATGAGCCAAAGCAAAAAATTGTGGAAGACCGTGGCGTATCTCAGAAACTCATTCTGGCTGGAGCACAGGTTCATATGAAAGGGAAGAGACCAGGGGAAGCTGGAGAAGGCAGGAGATGACCTTGGAGAGGTAGGCAGTTTCTTAATGTGGTGACAGTGTATCTAAGTATCACATTCCTATTGTAGACTTCTTTGGGTCCCCTGTGGTCACACTGACTTATTACTTCCTTATTTATTGATTCTTCCAAAGGGTGTTTTCTTTTCAACTAGCCACTCTGTCAGGTAATTGACAGCTCCAGGACTTTATGGACCAAGAGATAGTGAACCCCACACATTACCTTTTGACTTCTTGCCATTTCAAAGCGTCCCCAGGTCAAAATAACATATTTATTACCACTTTAGTAAATATGGCCTCTGGGAAATTTTCACAGGAAGAATCTCACAGAGAGGATTTATGGATTGTAAATAGATAATCAGATGTTCATAGTGCAGGTGTAAATCTTGAGATAAATTAAAAGTATTGTGGAACTTTTTTGGACTTTGAAAGATGATGCAGAGTAAATCACCAAGTCCTGGAATACTTCTTCATACTTAGGTGTAAAGTGTTGGAAAAATTACATGCTGATGTCAGAACTCTTCATATTGGTTTCCCAGGAATGTACTTTAGGGTGCTGTGGACACTTAAAAGTGGAGTTGTAGTGGCTGAGGTTATAATTCAGTGGTAGAACTTGCCTAGCACATTTGAGGCACCAGCTTCCATCCTGAGCACCACATATAAATAAGTAAATAAAATAAAGGTATTGTGTCCATCTCAAACTAAAAAAAAAATTGAAAAAGTGGAGTTGGACAAATAAGACATCACAGTTTTTTGGTTTTTTTTTTTTTTTTGAGGGGGGGCTTCCCATTTCTCAGTTTGAATTCTTTTAGTGCATTGTTTCATATTGTTAACCAGTTAATTCAGAATATTTGTTAGTACTGATAACCAGTACTTAGCGTTTTGATTTTCACATGCCCTTTTTAGAGTTGAATAACACCATTAAGAGAGTACATGTATACACTTTATTCCTTAAGAGATGTGCATATATATTTTTATTCCTTGAGGCAGTTTTATAACARTGTGACTTGCCCATGGTTACAGTAAGTTCCATATTCTTTCCACTTTCTATACCTTATCATCACCTGCCAATGGGTACTACTTAAATTTTATGCCATAGTCTTTTTCACATCATGGTAATTGTGTATCTGATTAACATAAACTGTTAACAGCCAAAGGCTATCTGTGGAGTTTCCCCACTATCCCCAGCCCTTCCCTGGCTGCCTGGGGAGGGGCATCATATTATTTCTATAACCCATTCAGTGCACATGCATTTTGGTTAGAAAGCTATGAGTTATAGTTCTATGTCCCCAAAGAAGTAAAGGATTTAGATCATCTTTGAGGAAGCAGTCCAGATAGAGGAGCAGAGTGAGGAAGGAGAACTGGGAACAGGCAAGCTGGAGGCACTCTTGAGGATGGGGAGATTTTGATGAAACTGAAGAGATACATAAGAAAAGATGTAAGGACTCCACTGAGCTTTTTTACTCTTAGTATGGTTTCAGATCCTGACACAATAGCCATGCTTCTTGATCATCCAGTCAGGCCACCTGCTTTAATCTAGATGTGATTGAGAACTGTCAGTAGCTAAAGAGAATGATGATCATTCATTGTGGATCTGATTTGTTGCAGGCACTATATTAGCCTTTCCCCTATCTTTTCTTTGTTAGTCTCATAATTATTTTGGAAAGGGGGGCTTTTTATCTGCAGTTTCAACAGGGAGGCTTAGAAAGGTTAAATAAATTTCCTAAGGTAACTTAGTGAGTACCAAATTRTATTTTTCAGATCTAACCGTGATTCGTCTAAGACCCACAACCCTCCATTCTCATTCCTAAAGCAGCCTTTGAAGAAATCCAGGGCATGGAGGCCACGGTTAGAAAATATTGTTTGATTGCTCTACTGTCTGATTATCATATGAAGGTGCTGGGTCTGAGTCTTTGTAGAAAAAGAACTGGTAGAGCTTGATGACAAATGAGTTGTGTTTCTATGAGTTTGCCAGACTATGGTTTGATGGCACAGTCTCCAAGTTCAGTGGTTTCCCATACCACCTCAGGTTCCCCAATTTGTCAGGACTTACAAAATACTTATAGTCGTAGTTTATTATAAGGAGAGGATGCACATTAAAATTTGTTCAAGGAACGAGACACATAGGACAGTCTGGGAAAGTTCTAAAACAGCCTCTGTTGTCCTCAGGACATGCTACTCAATGTGTGGCTATATGTACCACTAAGTATTGCAAGCCAGAATGCTGTTGCCAGCTTTGGGACCCAGAGTTTTATTGGGGCTTCATGACTTTGGCATGGCTGGACGACTACCTATGTGGTTGGACTCAGTCTCTAGTTACAGTGATACCTTATAACCCTCAGTCACCACCCTAAAACAGGCCTACCTCCAACCTATGACTATCAGCCCCTGCCCTAAGCAAATGTGCTCCTGTTGTGGAAGACATAGATTACCTCCAGGAGTTGAGGGCAAAATCCTAAGATGAGGGAAAAGCTGAAGATAACATCAAACATATATATCTAGATCCTGGTCTAGACCTTTGAAATCAAAGGGACACTTGAAATCTATGGGAAACATGCTCAATTCAGTTTCTGATATTTGAGGTTTATTTTTAACATCTTTCTGGATTTCCAAAAGTAAGACATTTGTAGACAAATATTAAGATGGTTAACAGACCAGGCTACAGGTAGGGTTAGGACATCACCTGGAGGTAGATGATAGCTGAGTAAAGGTTGGCCAGGTGGCAGATTGTGAGACAGCATGTGCTCAGAGCCTGTAGACCTGCATTTTTCTTAGAATTGACCGTGTACCTGATCTTTCAGCTTCAGTGTTTTCATCTGTAAAATGAGCATACTGAAAATATGTACTTCGCAGGAGTGCTTTTAGGATTGGTTTGGGAAAAAGGTGGGAATACATTCTATAAACTCTAAAGCTCTTGAACAAGTGTAATCTAATTCATCATTGAAGAGCTCCAAGAGGCTGAGGATCAAGCCTTCCGGGATACTTAGGAAAAGGTAGTAAGAAACAGTTTGTGGGAAACGAGTAACTTTTAAAATGAAGGAGTTTCTATGAATGGCAACCAAGATGCTTAATTCAGAAACCAGGAAAAATATAGGGAAGTAATTGAAAAGAGCTTTAAATTTAATTGAAGTGGAATTTTTGTGATTTAATTTTATTCTTAGGGAATTTTTTTCCTGGAAACATTTTTTCCTTTTTTCTTTTAACTTTGTTGAAGGAAAACTGAGTCATGAAATGCATATACATCAATTGTGCAACTAARTGCGTTTTGGCGTATGTATGATGCCATTACTGACATCAAGAAAATGAAAATACCTGTCACCTCCAAAAGTTTCCTTGTGCTCTTGTGCCTGTTTGTCATCCCTCCTGGCTTCCTCCTCCTTCCTGTACTACTCCTATACCTGTTTCCTGTTACAATATATACTTTTTTTGGTACCAGGGTTCGAACTTGGGGCACTCACCCACTGAGCCACATCCCCAGCCCTGTTTTGTTTGTTATTTAGAGATAGAGTCTCACTGAGTTGCTTAGCACCTCCCTTTTGCTGAGGCTGGGTTTGAACTTGCAATCCTCCTGCCTCAGCCTCCCAAGCCACTGGGATTACAGGTGTGTGCCACTGTGCCTGGCACAATAGATACTTTTTGCCTGGCTTTTTACTCAGCATTCACCTGTTGATAGATACATGTTTGAGAATTGCTGAGTACAAAGGCCAGTTGAGAGCCAATTATATGTCAAGTAGGACCAGAATACTTAGGAAGATCTTGATTTAGATTGGCAGTAGGATTACATCATTGTCTACTAGAGGGTGAAAATTCTTTATGGGAGGTACATGATACCCAGTTCTCCTTGTTGGACTTATTATTTAGATGAACTTCTATGGTTGATTTAAGCCTTGTATGGCAGCTTTAATAACCCAAATCAGATTGTCTACACAGTGGGAATGGATCCATTTTCTGAGGCATTCTCATATTCTCAGATATCAATACATAATAAAACTAAGATGCAGATTTATCTACTGTGAAAAATAAAATTTCCTTATAGATTCTCTGGAAAATCAAATGCTAATGAGATGATTGTCTGATAAATTGGTAGTGGGACAATGCCTTTCCATCAGGGTAAGGGTCCTTATGAATGTATTTTTTATTCTTCCTTAAAAAGGTTTAATCTGCAAGGCATATGTATGTTACCATTATAATGAAAGAACCCTTGATTTTTCCCACTTGATTAATATTAATATTTGTATTAGTTTTTTTTCTTCGTTTGTTCTTTAGGGTTCTTGTAACAAATCACCATCGACTAGGTGACTTAGAACAACATAAATTTATTCTCTGATAGTTCTGAAAGTGGAAGGCAGTTCTTTCTGGAAGTCCCTGAGGAGAAGCCCTATCATGCTCCCTCTAGCTTGTGTGGCTGTTGAGTCCTTGGCAGTCCTTGGTTTGCCTTCACCCTCTCATGGCCCTCTGCCCTCTACTGCTCTACACCTCAAGTCTGCCTTTTCTTTTAAATGAGGATACCAATAATTGGGTTTAGGACCCACTCTAAATCCAGGATGATATCTTCCCGAGATCCTTAACTCAAGTAAGGCTTTGTGAAGGCCCTGTTTGCAAGTAAGGTCACATAGTTCTAGGAAACCTTAGGTGTTGTGGGAGGGTTAGGGCTTGGACCTGCCTTAGGGGGATATAATTCAACTGATTACAGTATTATTTTCAGGTAATAATCAAAACTAGCCTTTATAATATATACTTCGAGCTAGAAGGTACATGGCATGAACTAATTCCCCAAACAAACCTCATTAAGTAGGCACTGATATTGTTATTGTTAGGATTTTTGTTTGTTTTTTTGTTTTGTATTGGGGATTGAACCCAGGGGCACTGAGCTCCTCCCCCAGCACTTTTTATTTTTTATTTTGAGACAAAGTCTTGCAAAGTTGCCCAGGCTGGCCTTGAATTTAGGATCCCCCTGCCTTGGTCTCCCAAGTGGCTGGGATTATAGGCAGGTGCCACCTTGCCAGATTCTTCTTCTTCTTCTTCTTCTTCTTTTTTTTTTTTTTTTTTTTTTGCCTTTTTGTTTTGTTAAACAGGTCCTGTAATTATTTCGGACCTAGTTCTTTTTTGCAGTGAAAGTCTACTTGTTTAAAAAATCTTAAGTCTAGGTGAATGCATGACAGCAGGATCAATTTAGTGTTGAATTATTCTGGGTATTATCAGTTCTAAAATTTTTGTCTTTCAGATATATTAGGTGAAGGAAAAGACTTCTGAGGTTGACAGGGGAAAGAAAAGTAGTCCTTTTCATTTCTGTATTTCTTCCTGGAGAAGAAGAGAATTCTTAGTATTTTTGAATTATATATTTTCTGTGCATTTTAATATTGTGAATAATATGTGTAGTAATCTGAGTTTGTCGGGTCAGTTGAGGTTGGGAAATGTTTAAAAGTGGTTCATTGAGGTCCTTTCTGGRGATCTGTTTAAAACGTTACTTTTGGACTTTCCTTTTCACTCTAGCAGAAGAGTCTCAAGTCTAGGATGCTGGGCTCTGGCCTGTTAGGGAAGTAGAGAATGCTGTGAAGGAGCCCAGCAGAAGAGAGGAGTGGGAGGAACATTGAGCTCCAGGGGACTCCATTTCAGTGACAGCTGTATATTCCTATCATAAAAAGATGTCGCACTTGAGGGAATGTATGGTCTGGTGTAGCTCTTATGCTGCCTCAAAAATTCAAGCCAGGAAAGACCAAAATTGTCATTTCTTTAGAAATGTCCTGTAACTTATTTGCCTACCCATCACTGAAATCTATGTCAGTATTTTTGTCCTCCAAGGACAATTTTCTGATTGAAGTTTCTAGTGAAGTAGCTTGTTTTAGAAAGATGATTTTCACAAAAATCTTTTAAGCTGAGAGGAATACCAAGCTCATTTTTCCATTCTTCTTTCAGATTATTTGTCTTCTATCTTAAGATGAGATTATATTTGTAAACAGAATGAATTAGTCTTTTTGCTTATAGAATACATTAGTTGTTAAATTGTGAGAAATGCCAAGGGGTCAAAAAAATCACATCATAGTTCACTTGTAGCTTTCAAGTCAGTTCAGAAGCCCCAAATCAGCATATATTTACAATTACTGTTACTTTTTTTTAATAGGTGGAACCATTGAAATTTTTACAACATGAAAATATGAATTGAATTATCTTAAATTTGTACATGATCTTCCCCCTACCCCCAAACCTCTGGCCTCATCTGGCATTTCCTTTTGTCTACTTGCCATCCACCTTTCTAGTGGTAAGTAGACAGAAGGCCTTTCTAGTCTTTTTTCCCCCATCAGGCTCACTCTTTTTGGTCTTGGTGTACGTTATTTTTCTAACTCCTTGGATCAGGCAAGTCTTCCCTTTTCTATACTATAGTTATTGCATAACTATTAATTTATCGGTAATTGGAGGAGTAGGAGATGTGCCTGTTTTGATTGTCGTGGTTTCCCCTGGAAAGTAGCTTGTAGCTCAGCACATGTGTATTGGATTAATGTATACAGGCATGATATTTGTATTGTCTTCTGTGGTTAATGTGTTTACCTTTTTTCATTCACGTAAAATGTTAATTTGTTTTTCTTCTCAAGAGTTTGGCCGAATTGGAGGCATTATGTACTCACCTCTACRTAGGGACTGATCTTACACAAAGAATAGAGGCTGAGAAAGCACTCTTGGAACTTATTGACAGCCCAGAATGTCTCAGCAAGTGTCAACTTTTATTAGAACAAGGAACAGTAAGTATTTGATAACAACAATTAACCATGAGAGATCACTGAATGTATGTCAGTGTTAATCAATTCGTGTGTATTAGCAATGACAGATGTTGCCACATCTTTTTATTATAGTTTATTTCATTGTCATAATCAGGGAAAGAATTGGAAAGCCAGGGAAGCAAATTTAGGGAATAGTCTGGAGGCAGAATAGGAATGAATTGAAATAATTTCTTGATTCCTCTTGGACCTTTTTTTTTTAATATTTCTTTTTTTTAAACATTTTTTTCAGTCATACATGAGCACAATGTCTTTATTTTGTTTATTTATTTTTATGTGGTGCTGAGGATTGAACCCAGTGCCTCACATATGCAAGGCAAGCACTCTGCCACTGAGCCACAACCCCAGCCCTTAATATTTCTTTAGTTTTAGGTATTGTGTCTTTCTTTCTTTCTTTCTTTCTCTCTCTCTCTCTCTCTCTCTCTCTCTTTCTTTCTTTCTTTCTTTCATATTTATGTGGTGCTGAGGATCAAACCTAGTGCCTTACCTTACCTTCCCTAGACGAGCACATCCCTAGGTGAGCCACAACCCCAACCCCACCTTGGATCCTTTTATGTCTCATTTTAGTGGGAAAAAAATTACATTTTAGAACAACTTTTTTTTTTTTTTTGGCCATTTTTTTAATCTAGTTGGTAGAGGCAGGTTGTAGTTAACTTTGAAACATGAAAGAATTATTCGAAAGAATGCTGGCTACTTCTTGATATTCTACTTTCTAGATATTCAGAGCTATTCTTTCAGAAATTGTTTAGCAAGTGCTTACATATAAAATCATGCTCTCTACTGCTTAAATGGTTTATGTACATGAACTAAAGGAGGGCATTGTTTAGTTGTAAAGCATAGGTCTATAGACAAAGAACTGTGAAATGATATGATGAGCACTGGAGTCAGAGGCCTCATGATACAGACCAGAATTGGACAACTTTTTATTTTTATTTATGTATTTATTTATTTATTTAATTTTATTGGTTGTTCAAAACATTACAAAGATTGCAGAATCACATTGGTTACACATCCACATTTTTACATAATGCCATATTAGTAACTGTTGTATTCTGCTAYCTTTCCTATCCTCTACTATCCCCCCTCCCCTCCCCTCCCATCTTCTCTCTCTACCCCATCTACTGTAATTCATTTCTCTCCTTGTTTTTTTCCTTTCCCATTCCCCTCACAACCTCTTATATGTAATTTTATGTAACATAGAGGGTCTCCTTCCATTTCCATGCAATTTCCCTTTTCTCTCCCTTTCCCTCCCACCTCATGTCTCTGTTTAATGTTAATCTTTTCCTCCTGCTCTTCCTCCCTGCTCTGTTCTTAGTTGCTCTCATTATATCAAAGAAGACATTTGGCATTGGACAACTTTTTCTGAAAAGAGCCATCAAGTAAATGTTTTAGGCTTTGTGAGCCAAGAGGCAAAATGGAAGATATTTTATGAGTATTTCTATAACAACAGAGAAAACAAATGTCCTCAAAGGTTTATTGGTAAAATTCAAAATAATTGAATGTAGTTTTTTGTAATAGAGGTCTATTAATAGAAAACAATAGGACAGTTCTTTTAGCACTATTAATGAATTTCAGAGTTGTGTTTCTTGTTATCAGCATTGATGTAAGTGTTCATATGTTAATGCTGATCCGTAATAAAATTTTACATTTTTCATCTTTGAAAATATCTTTTAACATAGATAGGTACTCCCAAATACTAAAATCAGTCCATGGGCATATGATTTTAATTAAACATATTCATCACTTAGAAGGCATTTATAGAATTCTATTATATCTTCTCTTGATATTTGCCTTTTAGCATGTCATTACATTGCAGATTAATCACTTCCAATTGAAGATTAGGTGGAAACTCCTCAATTGCACAGCTAAATGGATTTTGAAATATGGAAATTTTCTTTTTATTTGCATCAAGGTCTGAACGGTGGTGTTGGAACTGCAGTTGGCACTTAGAAAATGAATCTGAAAATAGAGATCTCACTACTTGTTTTTAACTTTCAGAAGTGTAGGAAATGTCTAGAGCAGCTTGTCATTTCTTGTGAGTCAGTGTTGTTACTGAAATGATTTTATGGCGTCGTTAGTCATTGTAGTCATTCTGTATGTAAGTACTAAGTACTGTTTGTCTTTTAGGTAGTTTTGGAATTTTAGGTTGAATTCATTACGAGACATTTTCAAGTTTGCAGAAAAAGATAATTTCCAAAGCCATTTAGTGTTGAATAATAGAGGCTTGGTCATCTTATCCAGAAGAATTTCATTCTCAGCCCCAAGTTTAAAAAAATTGCAATACAACTTTACTACTGATAAGTGACCAAAGTACTGGGAAGTGGGACGAGATATTCAGAGCTTCTGGTTCTGACAGAATTTCCCAGAACTGAAGATAAGTTCATAGGAGTAAATAAACTTTGTTAACACCTCTGATTCATTAATGCATGATAGACTCAAATGTTTACCATAGCATATCTGCTAATGAAACTATAAGCTTGAAACATATTACTCTCGCCGCGCACCAGTAATGGGGATTGAACTCAGGACCTTATACCACTGAGCTACACCTCTAGCCCTTTCATTCTGAGACAGGGTCTTGCTAAGCTCCTGGTGATCTTCCTGCTTTATCATCTCAGGTCGCTGGATTATCGGCATGCACCACCATGTCTGGCTTAAACATTTTACATTTTTTACAAGCTTTTAAAATTTGCCCAACTAAGCCCTTTCTGCTCCATATTTTTACCACCAGTGTCTCGCAATAATTATATTGAATTAATGTTTCTTCAACTGTTTTGAAAATATTCTGACCTATAATTCCACACAGACTCTTCAGAGAGGCTAATTCTTGCTGTATCACACTTAGTGTTGATTTCTAGAATAAACAGGGAGAAAGTTTTGGTAATATTAACAATATGAACAGTATTGGTAACATCTGTTCACTCATTGAGAGCTAGGAATAATCTTTCCAAATCATTTGTCTTGCTTTTAAATTGACTTGTTGTTGCTTCATGTCTTCAATTTTTGAACATTTGTTCTCACCAAAAGGCTAGTAAGGTTTATTTTCTCTGCACACATAACTTAGGCTGCTACAATAAAACAATGGTGATTTAATTAATTCCTCATTGTTAAGTGTCTTTCCTTGCCTGGTTAACGATGAGCCACTTGGAAACTTAAATTTGGTGCAACCTCATTTTATTTTTCATTTTTGTAAGGAAATTCTGTGTTGAGATAGTGGATTTAATTTTTCTGATGATTGATATTTTTGTGTGTGATTTGGGAATTTGGTGATTAGTGTTTAGTTTGATATTATTAACACATATTCTTTTAGGAAAGATATAGTAGCATCGTGGCAAAAAAAAAAAAAAAGCACCTTGCTTTCACATCTAATTTAGTACTGTGCCTTGAAAGTTAGACATTTGAAGTTCATTTTTGCCTTATCTTATTCTGACATGACATATACACTGATAATAAGATATATATCTGTATATATGTATCTGAAGTAGATTCATTTTATACATTGTAAATCTATCAATTTGGAAAAACAAAACTTCTTACTTTTGCTTAGAAAAACTACCTGTAATATTTTGATTATTCTAATTTTATTTGTGATGATAATAAAAAAAAATTATTCTTCACAGACATCCTATGCTCAGCTCCTTGCAGCAACATGTCTTTCGAAACTTGTCAGCCGAATCAGTCCTTTACCTGTTGAGCAGAGGATTGATATCAGTAAGTGGTTTATTATGATTTTTAACAAATTTTACTTTAGAAGTAAAACTTTGACTTTTAAATATGGAGAGCGGTTTTTAGGCTTGTGAATTATTTGATTCTGTCATTTTTTTTTTTTAAGATTAGTAGTTAACTCTCGTTTACTAATCCAGTGTTAATAATGATGTGATAATATGGTGCAATATGTAGTAAAAGCATATTAGTTTAATAATAAGTAATAATATTTGCTAAGATCTGTACCATCTTATTTTATCCTCCAAACAAATTCATGAGTTATCCTAATTTTACAAGTTGAAGAAGTTAGATTTAATAATGTGTGTAATCTAAGATCACACAGCTAGGAAATGATAGAGCTGTCATTCAGTTTATGGAATCCATGCTCTTAATCTTTAAGTTGACTTATAGCTCAATGACAGGAGAAGTGAAAGCTTCAATATTTCTCAGAGTGCTATGTCAAAAGCAGTTGTGATACATTGAAAACCAAAAGCTGACTCCTTGATAATTTGTGTGTGGGTAAACAGTGCTTAGAACATCTTATAGTTGGAACCTGGTTCTATAAAATAGCAAATATTTTTCAGAAGTAATGTATTTTTAAGTTTTTGTATGTGTGTATATGTAAGTTTGTATTTCATATGGATAAAGCTCTAATAATTGAGGTATAGGATTTTTTGTCTTCCTGCTCATAATAGAAATAGATTGTTGATTTCTTTAGCCTCAAGATTAACATGATTTTTATATTTGTGTCAGAAAAATTAAAATGTGTTATGTGTTAGGATCTTTAAGCTCAAATTTGAATGGTCAGAATCACACAGTGATGTCATTTTCCTCATATGTTTGCCTGTTCCCTAAGCATGTTGAGTGTTAGGTACTTCAGAAAGCCTAGAGAAGAAATTATCCATGCATTTGTCAATTTGTGTGTTTAAGAAAGCAAAAGAAGTTTGTAGCTTTAAAAATAAGTATTCAAACACTATAAATGGAAGTCTAAAATTTGGATTTTTGTTTATTTGACTTTTGCGCACACACAGACACATTTTTTTTTTAAAGAGAGAGTGAGAGAGGAGAGAGAGAGAGAGAATCTTTTTAATATTTATTTTTTAGTTATCGGCGGACACAACATCTTTTTTTGTATGTGGTGCTGAGGATCGAACCCGGGCTGCACACATGCCAGGCGAGCGCGCTACCGCTTGAGCCACATCCCCAGCCCCATACACAGACACATTTTAAATACACTTAATTTTGGTAGGCACTTTTGGGTTTATAGCAAAACTGAACAGAAATTACAAAGTTTTGATACAATCTCTGCCCCCATACATGCAGAGCCTTCCTTGCTGTCTGCATATCCTGCTCCAGAGTGGTACATTTGTTACAATCAACCAACCTACATTGATAAGTTATTATTATCCAAAGTTTACAATCTCTGTTACGTTTCACTCTTGGTGTTGTATGTTCTGTGGGCTTTGATAATGTATAGTATTGTACAGAATAGTTTTGGTGCCCCGCAAATCCCCTGTGCCTGTTCATCCCTCTTTTCCCCCAACCATTGATTTTTTTATGGTTTCCATAGTTTTTCCTTTTCCAAAAAGTCATATTGTTGGAATCATACAGTATGTAGCCTTTTCAGATTGGCTTCTTTCAGTTAGTAATTTGCACTTAAGGTTACTCTATGTCTTTTCATGACTTGATAACTTTATTTCTTTCTGGTTCTCTGTAATAATAACAGCGGTATTTCATTGTCTGGATGTGCCACAGTTTATCCATTCACGTATTGAAGGATGTTTTGGTTGCTTCCAGTTTTGACAATTGTGAGTAAAACTTCTATGAACATCCATTTGCACATTTTTGTGTGGATGTAAGTTTCTAATTTGGGGTATATATCAAAGTGCACATTTGCTAGAGTGTGTCTTCCAAATTGGCTGTATGATTTTGCATTCCCATCAGCAACATATGAGAGTTCCTATTGCTTCCAATTCTTGCAAATATTTGGTGGTGTTAGTTTTCTGGATTTAAGCCATTTGTTTATTTAGATCTTTGGTTTCTTTTAATTATAGCTCTGTAATTTTTCTGGCATAGGTCTGGCATATATTTTATCAGTTTTATACTTGAGTATTTCATTTTTGGAGTGCTATATAAATGATATGGGGTATTTTATTTAAGGTGCCACTGTTCATTGTTGATAATGGAATACAATCGGTTTTGGTATATTAACCTTGTATCCTGCAACCTTGTTCTGTAATCACTTGTTCAGGGTTTGTTGTTCAGATTTTTTACATAGATAATTGTGTCATCTGTAAGCAAAGATAGTTTTATTTCTTCCTTCCTAATCTCTATTCTTTCTATTTCCTTTTCTTTCCCTATTACATGAGCTAGGATTTCTAGTATGTGTTGAAAAATAGTGGTCGGAGGAGACATCTTATCTTGTTCCTGGTTTTAGTGGGAAAGCCTCAAGTTTCTTACTGTTAAATATGGTGTTATCTGTAAGGTTTTTTGTTTTGTTTTGTTTTGTTTGGTGGTGGGGAAGGGTACCAGGGATTGAACTCAGGGGCACTCGACCACTGAACCACATCCCCAGCCCTATTTTGTATTTTATTTAGAGATAGGGTCTCATTGAGTTGCTTAGTGTCTCGCTATTGCTGAGACTGGATTTGAACTTGATGTTTTTTATCTAGTTGAGGAAGAAGTCCCTCTATATTCTTAGTTGGCTGAGAGTTTTTCTCATGAATGGCTATTGCATTTGTGAAATGCTTTCCCTGCATCTCTTGATATCATTATGTGATTTTTTTTATTCTTTAGCCTAATGATGAGATGTTAATTGATTTTTGAGGGTCAAATTGGACTTGTATATCTGTAATAAATCTCATGTGTTTAATTTTTCTTATATATTATTGGATTCAGTTTGCCAATATTTTGTTGAGAATTTGTTGAGAGACATTGGCCTGTAGTTTCTTGTAATGTCTTTGGTTTGGGTATTAAGGTATGTTGGACTCATGAAATGAATTAGATATCATTTCCTCTGCTTCTGTCTTTTGGAAGATATGGAGAATTGGTATAATTGGTATATTGGTATAATTTCTTCCTTAAATGTTTGGTACAGTTCACTAGTAAACCCATCTGGGCCTTGTACTTTCCGTTATTAACTATATTGATCTAATGTCTTTAATAATACAGGCATTTAGGTTATCTATTTGACCTACATTCATTTTTGAAATAGAATCTTTGTTTTCGAAATGGGAATGCAGATGTTCCCTGACTTACGGTGATTCAACTTAAGATTTTTAAAAAATTTTATTAGGATGCAAGAGCAATAAGCATTCAGTGGAAACCATTCTTTACATTCTGAATTTTGATCTCTCTCTGGTTGGATGATAATGGTATAGCACTCATGTGACACTGGGCAATAACAGGAAGCTACAGCTTCCAGTCAGCCACAGGATCACCAGGGCAAACAACTAATATTCTACATTGCAATGTGTTGCTAAGCTATGATATTTGGTAGGTTAGGTATATTAGAAGAATTTTCATCTTACTAGAGATTTTCAACTTATGATGGGTTATTGGCATGTTACTTCATTGTAAATTGAAGAGTATCTGTACTCTAATTTAAAAAATGTAGGAATGAAATTTGGAAAAAAACAGAAACATACAAGACAATTTCAAGACAACAAGAAATGATGGATTTCTTTTATTTCTTTATTTTGATTTGCCACTCTTATTTCTGCAAGTAGATTAGAAGATTGGTCATGATATAATAGATCTGACATGTATCATAATAATTGACATGTAAAAGTAAAGTGGAAAATGTGTAGAAGCCTTAACAGTCAAATTGCTTTTATCATGCCAGCTTCAAAATCCTTAGTCCTTCATTATATGGTACCACTTTACATATCTCATTGTTTCCAATCATGAACTCAGTGCCAGATCCTCTGTGTCTATTACACTATTTTTGACCTTCTTAGTGTAGTTAACAATGGCTAATGGTTGGTTATCAGTGAAGTACCATTTGAAGGTTCATGAGCTTGTCATTGAAGACCCATTCTTGTGGAGGCAGCCTTGTAGCTTCTTTGATACTAACCTGTTAATTGTGTGTGAAGGACTTCCCCAGGCCAGGTTGTTTCTGCCTTGGTGCCTTTCTTAAATGTTCTTTCCCTAGATTGAATGCTGTTTTTCCCACCTTCTTTCAAATGAAAGTGTAGCTTAGGTTTGGTTGCTTATATAAACCAATCCTTCATCCCTCTGTCCCTTCTCCTTTCCTCTTCCTCCATTTCTTTCAGATAGCTTTAATTAGGTATGATATACCACAGAGTTGACTTATTTTAAGTGTACAGTTAGTGACTTTTAGTCAATTTACAGTTGTTTGAACATTATCACAACTTGGTTAGAATATTTCATCATCCTTATATTCGTTTACAGTCACCTGCTCTGTACCACAAACCTGTGATGTGCTTTCTCCTTCCACAGATTAACTTTTTGTGGACATTGTCTAGAAATAAAATCATACATTATGTCCTCTTTTGTAGTTGGCTTTTTCACTTAGCAAAGTGTTTTACATTCCAGCCTTGTTGTAGCATGTATCAATATTTCATTCCTTTTTTATTGTAGAGTAATATTTTCTTGTGTAGACCACATTTTGTTATCCCTTCACTAGCTGATGAACCTTTGGGTTGTTTGCCTTTTTGGCCAACATAAATAATTCTTCTATGAACATTTACATACAAGTTTTTGTGTAGACCTGTGTTCTAAAAGAGATTTGTGATACAGTGTTATATAATAAAAACCTTAGGGTTTATGAGAAAAATAAAATTATGACAACACAGTTCAAAAACTTTGTCAGTGGGCTGGGATTGTGGCTCAGCGGTAGAGTGCTCGCCTAGCATGTGCAAGACCCTGGGTTCATTCCTCAGCACCACATAAAAAAAAATAAAATAAAGATAATTTTCTTAACTACAACTAAACAAACAAAAAACTTTTGTCAGTGACAGAGAGAGAGAAAAGATAGAAGTTTAACAAAAGGGTTGTAGAATTTTACATGTTAAGTGGTTAAGGAATACCTAACCAGTATAGACAGTGTGGCACTCTGACTTGAAATGAAAAGATTTGAAGTTCGTACAACCCTTCCTAAGATTTGCAGCTTTTGTGTGACTATGAAATGATGGAAAGGAGATTATCTGATACAGAATGGAAAATCCTACCACCAGATGAGGCCGGGTGTGGCCGCTCACATGTGAGGCGCCCTGAGGTGGCTAGCAGATGCAGGCATACACATGTCATGGAGAGCTCGGTCCATTTGGCCTGGTCACAGTTTTCTGCATTTACCCAGCATTTTTAGTAGATAGAATCAATGAAACAAAAGTGATGTTCGTATCTTGCTCCGGTTATCCCCTGATAAATAAATGCAGTGGAACAAATTTGCTTTTTTGAACCAAGCTTTATGGAAGGTAAATAAGGACACATATCAAGGAATGGGAAGAGATCTCTCTGAAAGACCTGTCATTGCCTCCTGTTTGTCCTCACATGATTCCCTTTATGTTTCTCAAAAAGTCCAAATGATCATAGAATATTTTCTTTGTAGGAAACTACATTCTGAATTATGTGGCATCACAACCTAAGCTGGCTCCCTTTGTCATCCAAGCTCTTATTCAAGTCATTGCTAAAATCACTAAGTTGGGGTGGTTTGAGGTTCAGAAAGACCAGTTTGTCTTCAGAGAAATTATTGCTGATGTGAAGAAGTTTCTTCAGGTAAGAAGTCAGTATTACCTTACTTTAACACTATTACTTGCCTTTTTTGGTTTAGAATTCTGCTTTTCTTCAAGCTTTATGGTTTGGCTTGTGGCTACCAGCATTACATCATATTAATTATCATTTATTACTTATCCTTGGATCCTTTGTTGTTTTTTGTCAATAAAATTCATGCTTACATAATTTTCATACCAGGAGAACATAAATAATTGTATTTTCTAATTGCAAAAATGTATGTTCTTTCATTTATGACGTATATATATTGCGTATATATAATTCTCATTACAACCCTGGGAAACGGGTTTCATTTTCTAAATGAGAAAACTGGGGCTTAGAAAGGTTAAATGATTTATAGAGTATATCAATATGTAAATCAATGGAAGTGTAACTGATGTGATTCTGCAAGCTGTATACGGGGTAAAATGGGAGTTCATAACCCACTTGAATCAAAATGTTTTGAACAACCTACAATAAAAAAAAAGATCACATAATTATTTAGTAAAGTGTGTAACTAGCACTTCAACAAGTGTTCTGACCATTTACTTTTTTATTTTATACTATACTGCATTAACTCTTCATTTTGTCAAGAATATTTTAAACCTAAATTATTAAAGACATAGTGTATGTTATTGCTTAATTTACATAAATTCAGATATTTGGACTGGGAAAAGGAAAATCAAGAGAACCTACAGTGATTACCTGCACCAGGATGCTGTAGGAATTCTGAATCTGCTCTTGGTTCCTTATGCTTCTTTCTTAAGATGACTCGGGTATTTAAAGAAGAAAAAATGGTTTTTTTTCATATAAACATTCCTACCTAAAAGAAAATTACCTTAGCTCTGGTGTCATCTGAAAAAACAGTGATGTGTTGCGGTTCTTGAGGAATATTTGTCAGGTTTTTTGTTTTTGTTTTTGGTACCAGGGATTGAACTCCCACTGAGCCCTATCCCCAGCCCTATTCTGTGTTTTATTTAGAGACAGCGTCCCAYTGAGTTGCTTAGCACCTCACTTTTGCTAAGGCTGGCTTTGAACTTTCAGTCCTCCTGCCTCAGCCTTCAGAGCTGCTAGGATCACAGGCATGCGCCACTGTGCCTGGCTATTTGGCAGTTTTGATGGAGGGATGGTTCAGCACAGGTTTATTAGCGATTAGGGGCAGTTTTGACTTTCTGGGATTTTCCTTCTCATTGAATAATTTTGAAAGTCACCCCCTGTGTTAGATGTAACCCCATCATAGTGCAGTACTGCAAATTCAGACTGAAATACTGGCCCCCATAGCTTCTCTTTTATTCACGTTGTTAAGACCCCTGTGAACAAGTATTTGATCATCTGGAACGTGACAGGAGTTAAGCACATTCTTATCCCTGAGGAGAGCAGCGTGCACTGGCACAGGAGGAGATTTTATTCAGAGACAGAGCTTCTTACTTCAGAGTTGTGTTTGTAATTTGGAGTAGTACTGTAGTGTCCTTCTCTTGCCATTTACTAAGACTGGTAATAGTCATGACAATAGACGAAAATAGATGTGGAGTTCTTTTAAAATAAAGCTGAAGTTGAAAACCAACTGAAATGAAATAATTTTTGTTGGCTAGCATTTCTCAGACTCCCTCTTCAGCATCTGGTAAGTTCAGCTTTAAGTTGGGCTTTAGCATGTACCTTTGTCAATTTTGGGAGACCAGAAGAAACAAAATGTTTTATCTTGAAAGTTTATTATAATACCATAAAAGAATATTTAGCACTGTTTTGAGGTATATGACTTGACCTAGCCTTGAGTCATGGGAAAGACGATTTATTGTTTTAGTACTCTAAAAATAGTACCACAAGGTTCATTTAGGTGTTAGCATCTTGTGGGAATTTTGTTCTGAAAATTATAGGTTTGTTAGAACTGTAATGTTCTGACCTCTGGGCACCCACTTTCTCTGGTGTTGCAGCCCCATTGCTGCCACACTCCCAGCATGTGTATGTGCCTCCTTTCTACATGCGTATCCAAGAGTTGTCACCTACGGCAGCAGGTTGCTGTTCAGGTTGCTGCTCTGCAACAAGGAGTTTACGTCAAACCATAAATGAATTTTGTGTTTCTCTCATCAAGAGAGACTCGCCCCCCCCCACCAAGAAAAAAAAGCCAGCTTAACTGAACAGTATCTAGTTACTTACCTGTGTTCTATTCTGGTACATGCTCTTTATTTTGTTTTAGACCAGTACCAAGCCATTTTCACGTTAGAGTCGAATTTGCAACTGGGCCAGCAGTTGGCGAGGGAGCCACATTTTGAGAAACATCAAGTCTGTACACAGGGAAGGAATGCCTCAGGAAATGGGAAATTAGGGGCTCCATCAGGCACCCTCATCAGGCCTTGAAGAATTCAGGGGTGTTTCTTTTGTTCGTTTCGTTGTTATTATGAGGTAATCTGAACTTCATTACACTAGTGAGCATTATTATTAGAATTCTGTGAGGGTTAGAAGGGATGACCAACTACAGCATTAAGATTTGAAACATGGGGCTGGCATTGTGGTTCAGTAGTAGTGCGCCCACCTAGCAAGCACGAGGCCCTGGGTTCGATCCTCAGCACCACATTAAAAACAACAACAACAAAAAACAAAGGTATTGTGTCCAACTACAACTAAAAAATAATTAAAAAAAAAGATTTGAAACATGGGGGCTGGGGTTGTGGCTCAGCAGTAGAGCACTCACCTAGCATGTGCAAGGCCCTGGGCTCAATCCTCAGCACCACATAAAAATAAATAAATAAAGGCATTAAAAAAATTGAAAAATGTACCATCTGTTAATGTTTTAGTATGATTGCACTGTAATTCAAAGTTACACTTACTATTTTCATATTTCCACTGTGATTTTTTRAGTAGGGTAATTTGTTAATAATATGTATATAAAATCAATTTTGCACAGTATGTGTCAAAGTAAATTTATAGAGCTAAAGAGCATTTTTTTTTCCTCAGACTTATTTATAGTCTTATAAAAAATTTTAAACTAAACTCATAATTTGAAGCTTAGTTTATGGTAAGTCTCAGGTGCCAGAAATATTTTGTAGGATATTATGTAGCTCTAAGGTAGGTGAGCATTTTCCCTTTCAACTCTGGGTACTGAAATTTATCTTTCAAAAAATGAGCTTGAAATCCTTTTATTTGTAGAACTCAGTGACTTTTCTACATATTTTAATATATGTGTTATTAAGTAAGTGTGATGTTTTGGTATTTAGTATTTTGTAACTGTTACCCAGTTTACACTGTAAGAACCAACCAATCACATGTCTCCACGTAGGCTAAACTTGGTTATTTTCTCCAAAGGGTACTGTGGAGCACTGCATAATAGGAGTAATAATCCTCTCTGAATTGACTCAGGAAATGAACCTGGTAAGCCTTTCCATCTAATGGGAACGTAAAGTTTGCTTAAGTACTACTATTTCTTTGTGGCCATATGTAGAGTCATTTTTTTTGTGACATAAAAACTCTGACTAAGCAAAGTCTTTTTGTGTATGTCTGTTTTATTGGTGGGATAATTAAGTAGTGGAATATCAGCAATAGTGGAATGTACTACGAAGAGCAGAGAGTTAGACATGGTCCTTGCTCCATGAACACTTGGAGAATTATTGCTTTATCTTCTGTATATATAGTAATATGTTAACTGTAAGAAATAAATTATATGCACAAAGAGAAACAAAACTTTACTCATTTACAAATAAAAGACAAGTGATTTGGTGAATTGATTTTCAGCAGRATACCCAGCAGGACTCATCCTGAAACAGGCCACTTTCTAGCTGGAATTTTCACTCTATACAAGGAAGCTCTCCCTCCCCCCAATTGTGATTTTTATGAGCTCAGCAGCTGAGTACATTGTCACCCGCTCCTGTTCAATTTTGTGCATAGTGTGCTTCAAAACCGGACAAAAGCAGAAATTAGGTTCTGCACGGGATAATTTTATAATAAAGGGGGTTATGGAGTTTAAATTTAAAAACTGCCCTCCTCTGTGGTGTGTGTTATGTGTATGTGTGCAAGGAGAACTTGTATCCTCGGGGCCACTTGCCACCTCCCTTTGGAGTCAGTATAGCCATATATATATTTTTTAAATAAAATAATTATTTTTCTATTTATGTTCAATCAGATTTGGGTTTTTTTTATTTAAAAGGAAGAATTTCTAAAATTTAAAGTGATCTCTGTTTACCATGGCTGTCATCTCCCTGACTTCTCCACCCCAGTTATGTGAAGATATCTTTGCTATTTGTCTGTATATATATCTCTGCCCTTCTCCCTCCCCTCCYYCGCTCCCTCCAGCACTAGTAATAATAACACATTGGCAGAGATGGTCCATAGTTTTAGTATGGAAGTTTAACCTCATAGGTAAAGAGTAAGGAGACAAATATAATAACCCCTCATATCCACCATCCAGCTTCTACACATTTTACTAATCATGAAACTTGCAGTTTCATTGATTTCCTACATCACAGCAAAGATAGGAATATACGCTGCTCTGGCAATGAGGGTTGTGTTTAGTGTGTTACTGAACTAAGACTAGATAATGTGGAGTTGTAATAAAAGTATTATTCAGAGATCAACCAAGTATTTTTTTTTTAAATAAACTTACAGAAAAGTTCTGAGTTCACAGAARTTTTTCTTGACCATTTGATGCTGAATTGCTGACATGATACCCCACCCCCAGGGAATACTTTAGTGTATTTCCTACACGATGATACCATCATTAAAATTTAAGCAGGTCAACACTGATATATTACTGTTATCTAATTCTCATAGCCTATTCAAGTTTCACCGGTTATCCCAAAAATGTACTTTATCATGCATTGTATTTCTTTCTCATGTTCTGCTAGTCACCTTCAATCTGGAAAAAACTCAGTCATTCCTTCACTTTTATGATCTTGACACTTGTGAAGTTTACAGGCTAGTTATTTTGTAAAATGTCTCATTTTGAGATGGTTTGATGTTTCCTTGTCATTAGATTCAAATCATGTGTTTTTGTCAGGAGGTTCACTTTAAGATATCYTCCCCCCGGTGCTGGGGATTGAACCCAGGGCCTTGCACATTAGGCAAGYATTCTACCACTGAGCTATATCCCAGTCCCGTTTTTGGTTTTATTTTGAGACAGGCTTTTGCTAAGTTGTTCGTGCCCAAGACTGGTGACCCTCCTAGCTCAGTCCTACAAGTAGCTGGGATTGTAGGCATAGTCCCTGGACCCAGCCAATATTGATCTCTTAATTAAGATGGTCTCTTTGTAGATTCATTCTTTTTTCTGTTGTAATCAAAAAATTTTTGGAGAGGCAATTTAAGGCATTGAAAATATCATATTCCTCATCAGACTAAAAATTTACTGATTGGTTTACAAGTTTATTTAATAGGCTATAATTCATTACTAACATTATTTTGATTTTCAAGCTTTCCCAAAATTTGTCCGTAAGAGACCTTTCAGACTGGCGTTTTTGTCCAGTGAGCATTTGTCACATTCTTTGAATGCTTTTCTTCCTTCTGGCACAGAAGGTTCCAGGCTCATCTTCCACAGAACCAAGTTACTTTGAAGAAGAGCTCTAAGGTCTGAAGTGTGATCTTTGGCTTCATATCATGGAAGAATATGGCTTCTGTGCAGATATTTGACTTGGCCTAATTTTATGGCATTTTTTTTTTTTTAAAGAGAGAGGGGGAGAGAGAGAGAGAGAGAGAGAGAATTTTTTTAAATATTTTTCAGTTCTTGGCAGACACAACATCTTTGTTTGTATGTGGTGCTGAGGATCGAACCCGGGCCGCACGCATGCCAGGCGAGCGCGCTACCACTTGAGCCACATCCCCAGCCCCAATTTTATGGCATTTTGAGATTCAACTAGCATTTATTAAGCATTCCTAAACGAGGCAGTCTGAGAGTGATCTGCAGTACATGAGGAAAATCCAATGTTAAGAGTTGTCAGATGTGTGCCTTATAAGTTCATTCAGTGCCTGCAGGGTGGAGACAGAGGTGTGCAGTAGGAAGTGTCTGTGCGTGCCACATCTCAAAGCATTCAGTGTCTAAATGAATAGCTCAAATAAAATAGTTATCACACAAGCCTTGAAGAAGATGCTGGGTAAGTCATGGATTTATATTTTAGCTCTGTTGCTGACTCCTTTGTACAAACTTCTTAAGTCTGTATATCATTCTCTTGAATTGAAAATTGAGACTGGCATTCCTTATGAGGTGGATTTCGTGAACAACAGTGTGGCTCCCAGTGTACAGATGCCCTCAACAAACCTTCATTTCCTCAGGGCTGGGGTGTGGCTCAGTGGTAGAGCGCTTGGCAAGCAAGCATGAGGCACTGGGTTCAATCCTCAGCACCACATAAACATAAAATAAAGATATTGTGAATGTGTCCACCTAAAACTAAAATAAATATATATATAAATAAAACCCTTCCTTTCTCCATGCTGTGGGTATGGTGGTCATTCAGAGACTAGGCTAAGATAATATGCTATAAATTCTAATTTTCTCAATTCTAAGAAAAGAATAGTATGTAGTTTTGAAGATAGAGTGAAATAATATGTGAAGAATACTTTATAAATTGAAACCGTAATGCCACATACTCTTATTTGTATTAAAGAAAAGCATTGTAGGAGATATTTTGAAGTTTTAATTAAGGGAGGAACACTGAAAATGTAATTCAAATCTTAGATATTGGATACAGATTCCAGTAACTACTTTCTGTAATCACTTCAGACTTCTAGTATGCTTCATGTTTTATAAGTACAAGTGTAGTCTAAATCATATGTTGGAGATTAGGAAGTGTCAGATAATCAGTTTTTAGCTTACTGCTTTTTGCAAATCTGTAAACATTAGCAAGGAGAATGGTTTACTTTCTTCATCCAAATAGCAAAAGGAATAAATAATAATGCTGTAGCAGCTCTAGACCTTGATGCTGATAATCATTTGGGCATCAGACCTCAATTTTGTTTGCTTTTCCCTATGGGTAAATGGAAAAATTGCTAGTATTAATAGTGTAGTTTGGACATACTGTATTTTAGATTAGAGACTCAAGAGCTAATTCTAGTTATTTAGTCCTAAAAATTATATGCCATTAGCTAACAAAATATTTGGAGGAATTGTATTGCTTACCTTATAAATCAGATTTCTTGTTTATAGTATCCTCTTTTAGTGGTTTTCAGAATACGAATGACATATTATTCATAACACCAGTGACATGAACCAATGACATGTGGTATATACGAAGATACCACTTTCATACAGAAGAATTTTTCTGTTCTCATCTAGTGGCTGATCTACAGAGTGCTAAGGTTTGAAGATGAGCTCAGAGACTTCTCACCTTGCAGGTGGCATCTAAGGGACAGGGAAGTTGTTTGCATGATGTGAAATGTAGTGCCTGGTTCAGGAGCTGATGGTCTTGGGTCTAGTATTTTACAGTCAGTGTTTATGTTGCCTCTGAAAGTGTGATCAGCTCTGCCTTTTAATTTCTAGATCATGTGGTTTGTCAGAAGAGCACTGAATGAAAAGAGTCCAGAAACCAACTTCTTGAGTAAAATCATTTATCCTGGTAGATTTTGAAAAGATATTTTAATTCTGAACTTTATGATTCTTTAATCCCTATTTCTATGAGAGTACATTTTTGCTGGTTTTTTTTTTTTTTTTGTATTTGTGAGGGGTAGGTCTGGTTAAACTAATTTTTCTTTTTTTTTTAAGGTTGATTATTCTAGACCTTCAGCAAAACACAGGAAAATAGCTACTTCATTTCGTGACACTTCTCTCAAAGACATATTAGTGCTAGCGTGTTCTCTTCTAAAAGAGGTAAGTTATTTAGTTATTCAATTTTCTAGTTATTTAGGAAATTTTAACAGTTTCAAAAGGATTTCAAGTGGATTCCCTCTGCCCCTAGTTCTGCCTTTAAAAGAATTATTGTGCACAGTCTTAATGTAAGTATGATATATTTGTACAAATCTCTAAGGGGTTCCAAAAAATTGGCTTTTACTCCTTGGGTATGTAAAATAAAATCTAAAGGAAATTTAGTAACTTTAGGTAGTAGTTTGTCTTTCTCTTGTAGGTTCTTAACTGAAGAAGCTAAATTGAGTCTTGATTTCTTTATCTGCCTGCCCATGTTTTGATGGGATGTAGGTGAAAAATGAAATAATTAAGTTTGATTCATTAAACACCAAAAATTTTCTTAGATTAGCTAAGATAGCTAGCTGAGTTTAACAATTTCTTAGGGAAATAGGAATTCCCATTTTTTACTTAGTGCCCTATTGAACATTAGTGATATTGTGATTCATAACTTCATTGTGTTCTCTTTATCAACATAGGGAATCCATTGTGTCACTCAAGCTTGTTAGTTCTCATAGTACAGCACTTCCTATAAGAACTAGTTTCTCCTTATGTCAGTTCTATGGTTCCAGCTGAGTACCTGTTACCCTACTTAGAATCAGAAATGTTTCAGATTTGTATTTTTGCATAGACTTTATTAAGTATCACCAATCCAAAAATCCAMAACCTGAAATTCACAAAAATCCAAATCATTTTGATTGTCATGTAGATGCTCCAAAAGTTTTTATATTACAGGGCATTTTGTATTTCAAGTTTTTGGATTAGGGAATGTTTACCTTGACAGTAACATGATAAGTACCCTACTAGGTCAGACTAAAAGACCTTATTGTCTTAAACATTTTCTTTCCCTATGGAAAAATATATGCAAAAGTAGGTAGATACAACATGTAACATATACAAAAGTAGACATAATTGCCACTCAAGAACCCTTCAGTTAAACAGTAATAGCTTGCAGCTAATCTTGTTTCATCTCTCCAATCTCTACGTGCTCACTTTACTTCTTTTTTGTTATTATTCTTGGAGAATCCCAAACTTCACATCATTGCTTCTGCAGATGTTTCATGGGGCAACTCTAGAATGGTATAGTCTGTTGATATGTCAGAATGGGCATTGTTTTTGGTGTCAGGATTGCTCTCCAGAGCTTGTGAGTGTCCTCCCATAATCACAGTTCTGACAGCTTTTGTTAACCCATTGTGTCTGTGTTATAATTGAAGTTAGTCCTAGTGTTTCTTGAAGAATATTTAATCTTTGGCTTGTTCAAAACCACTTTAAGGTAATAATTACGTATACATTTGTGCAGTTGTACTGTGGAGAGTATTTTTCTTAGTGCTGCCTTATAACTTTAGATGATGACCTGCAGTACGGCATCAGGTATAAATGTTTTTATTCTTATCTCACAAAATTAAATTTGAATGTAGTCTATCATAGAAATTTGATAGATAGTGATTTTACTTTTCTCCCCTAATATTTGGAGTAATATAATTTTGTTAATTTTTTTAAACTAATTTCCATTTGGCATTAAAGAATTATTTAAATTCATAAAGTTAAAATTTATTGATGTGTTCATAATGGATTTTTTTGGTACTGGGGATTGAACCCAGGAGCACTGAACTACTGAGCCACATCCTCAACCCTATTTTGTATTTTATTTAGAAACAGGGTCTCAATGAGTTACTTAGTGCCTTGCTAGGTTGCTAAGCCTGGCTTTGATCCTCCTGCCTCAGCCTCCCAAAGCCACTGGGATTACAGGTGTACACCATTGCACCCAGCTCATAGTGTTTTGTTTTTAACCTTTTTTCAGGTATTGGCCAAACCTTTAAATCTTCAAGATCAATTTCAACAGAATCTGGTGATGCAGGTCTTGAAACTGGTCCTCAACTGCCTCAACTTTGACTTCATTGGCAGTTCAGCAGATGAGTCTGCAGATGATCTTTGCACAGTACAGATTCCAACAACCTGGAGAACAAGTAAGAATAAAGAGCATGAGGGGTGGTCAACCTAATGATGCAGAAGGAAGCAATATATTTGCCCGGGGTGTATTGTCTTAGTTTTAGGCTAGGCAATCAGAAAAGTGCTTTGCAACCCAAAAGAATTTGCTACCTGAAGTGTTTACTGATACCCAATTTCAAAATGTTTCCCCTGATGTATTATAGTAACTACCATATTTTGATTTTGGAAAAAAAAAAAAGAAGACAGCTCTAGAGATAGATGGAAAACAGTTTTGGGAAGAAAAAAAAAATCAAGAGCTCTGTTTGGAAACTTTCATATGAATAGAATGGGAAAGGATCTAATAGTAGACAAGAGATGTCAACGTATTTTCCAGAGCAATAAAGAGAATGAATTAGAGTAAGTGACTTAGCAGAGCAGAGTTGCAACTTACTCTGTTCTAGGAATGTGCTTAGTGGTGAAGTGCCCCTAGGTTAATCCTCCAATACAAAAAAATAACAAGATGATTTCATTCCAGAAAAAAAAGGTGATATTTAGGGTACCCCTGAAGTCAGGGAGGGAAGGAGGCTTCAAGGGCTTGGTTAAAAGACTGTATTCTGAATAGTCTCTTCTCTGCCACTTGTGCAGCTAGGTGACTGACTTTCCCTCCCTCCCTCATCTGCACTGTTCCCTTGCTTCACAAGACCAAGCTTTTTTCCTGAGAAAATTGAATTAGAGCATACATCAGAATCAGGAATACCTGATATAGTTGAGGAACACTGTTAGTTTTTTTGTCACTGTGATCAAAATACCTGATATAAACAATTTAGGTGGTGTTTCAGTTCATGGTCATCTGGCCCCAAGGCAGAAACGTCCTGGCAGAAGGGTGTGGTAAAGGAAAGATGCTCACTCTTAGCAGCTGTGAAGGTGGAGGGGAGGGGGAGATAGACACATACACACACACAGAAGAAGGAAGGGGACTGGGATAAGATAAACCCTTCTGGGGCACACCCAATGAAACCCTTCTAGAGTCCCCTGCCCCCCGCCAGACCTACTTTCTGTAACTTGGTCCCTGCCTTCCAATAATTCTTTCAAATCATTAATCCATCAGGTGGATTAATGAGGTTAGAACTTTCCTGATTCAATCATTTCCTGAAAGTCTCACCTCTGGACATGGCTGCATTAGGGACCATTCCATTGAGTACATGAGCCTTTTGGGGAACATTGCAGATCCAAGCCATAACAAGCAGCATGGGTTTTTGAGAACTTCTAGTATGAAGTCAGAGACTAAACCAATAAAAAGGGTTTTAATGTTCTGAATCTTGACTGTGGTAATTGGATTCATGAACCAACACATAGAATAAAGAAGTGCACAGACTAAAAACATCCAGGTGTACACAAACAAGTACATGTAAAACTGGGAAATTTAATAAGATTGGTGAATTGTATCCAGGTTAATTCCCTTGTGCTATTGTGAAATATTGAGTAAAATATGAGGTCAGTCTGTACTGGGTTTTGCCACTATATATGGATCTAGAATTATCTCAAAAAGTTCAGTTAAAAAAAATAGAAATAGACAAGGTGAAGAGTAGACAAGATGAAGAGTAGAAGTTAGCTTCTAACAGGTATAATCACTATTCCTAAAGAGATGACAAAAGATAATACATTCCTGGAACAAGAGCAGGATATTATCAAAAAGTAGAAATTCAGAGAATGTTCTGAATAGTTAATGAAATTTAGAAGGTAGAACAAAGGAAGCAAGATGCTTGAAAGGAGAAAAATATATATATATAAAAAAAAAAACTAGAAGATAAAATTAGGCCTGGCCACTGAAGGTTTGGAGGGCCAAAATACAGGACAGAGAAAACAGGAGGAAATTTGCAAAAATGTTCTCAGCACTACAGGTCATAAGTGTTTTTGGATTAAACTGTCTCACCAAGTACCCAGCATCATGAGTGAAAATGGGTATGTGCAAAGCTTCATAATCATGTCATTTTAGAATACAGAGGATAAAGAAAAATTCCTAAAATGTACAAGAAAGAAAAAAGTCAGTCACCTACAAAGGATTGGGATCCAGAAGGATAGTCAGTTTCTCCATAGCAGCATTGTAAACTGGAAGATTCAGACTTCTGCAGGAAAATTATTTTCCAACTAGATGGAAATTACCAAGTATAACCAAGATTAAAGACCTCTTCAGACATGCAAGTCCTCCCCAAATTCATCCCCTCTGTACTTACTCTCAGGAAGCTACTTGATTTGTAAACCAAGAAGGTGGAAGAAGGGGATGCAGGAACAGGGACTTCAACCCACGATGGAATGAATAGATGTAGGGAGGAGACCGTTGTGTGACAAAGTTAGGAAATAGCCAGTTCTGTGGGAGCATCAGAGAGGTAGGGCTGGGAGAGTGGAAATGAGAATGTTTGGTGCTCTTGACCATGTGGAAAACATCATGGAGAACATCTTGCTAATGAGAGCATTTGTAGTTTGTGACACAGCTACACACAGGAAAAATGCTGTGATTAAGTACAGAGTGAATTGTAATTGTGATATAGTAAACTTCTAGCACTGGCTGTTAATGTTTTTTATATTTTTTGTGTAGTCATAATAAATGTAAATACTTCAAAGTTGATTTAGTCACAAATCATGTTGGTAATGGAAGGGGAGGGTGGATTGTGGAGATTGGGGAGGTGGAGTTGCAGGGTGGGGTTGAGCAGCTACAGCCTCTTAGGCTCAGAGTAATACTTAAGCTTATATCTGAAGTGAAACAGCCAAAAGAAGTAATAGTGTACAACATTACTTAGAAGTATAGGTAAATATGTTGAAAGGTGGTTGGAAGGGGCTAGATGTAGTTGTTTTCATATTATAGACTTTTTCGTACTGCTTGCTTATTGATAATTTTTGAAATTTTAAACAGTGTTCATATTATTTTAATATAGACGAAAGTAGTTAGGAAGATTGCCCTACTTAGAACTGTAGATGCTATATCATCTTGGCTCGTTTTTAATCTCTATTATCTCAGTTTTCTGAGGAAAGTAGCTAGGAATTTAAAATAGCTCAACTGCAAAAAGTGGCCAAGATCTCATTGTCCTCAGTTTGTGTGATTTTGTTTTATTTGTTAAGATCACTGGATTGAAAGTAATGATATCAGAAATCATTTTTTTTCTCAGTTTTCCTGGAACCAGAAACATTGGATCTTTTCTTCAATTTGTATCATTCACTTCCACCACTGCTGTCTCAGTTAGTAAGTAAAACTCATTCATTACTTGATTGAAAAGTAGCTGTGATCTTTAATGAACATAAGGGATGGAATTTATTTATCCACAAAACTCTGCTAATATGTTTGATTGGGTCGACTTGTCACAGTAGTTCTTGTGTCATCCTAGGTGCATATCACTCGAGCTCTTTGTTGGGTTTTGTTTATTTTGTCAGTAGTCCATTCCATTTAATGGTTGAGCCAGAACCAGGAACTGTTGATTTTGCTCCTGCCAGAGCCAGAACAACACACCAACTTGTAAATATACCTTTCTTACTAGACAGTTCCCATAGGTTTGAAGTCCAGCTATCAGCTCCCTTACCAGGACCTTCCTCACTTTCTAACGCCCCTCAGCCCTCCAGGGCCTGGACTTGGTAGACAGCCTCCACCAGGTATCACTGAATGAAGCACAAAGAGGGATCTATTTACTTGATTTTTGCTCAGGACTACTGTTGTTTGTTAAGTTTTTTAATAAAATTCTGTTACATGTTCAAAAAATCTTGAAACTCTGTTATTGTATAGAACTTTGAGACTGTGGGTTCCATCTTTGCAGCATCTGTAATAGATATGGTAATGTTAAAAAATAATTATAGGTTTAATATTCAAGCTTCTAGAAATAATGTTGCCATTTTCTGAAAAAAGATGTTCCTGATTTAAAGCATGTACCAGTGATATGCTTGTTTAGATGTTATCATTTAGAAAGGAGAAGTGGATTCACAAAACYACACTTCAAAAAAACATGTCTGTCCTTGAATCTAGAGTTCAAGGTAGTGAAGTAGCTTTTAAACTGGGTTTCACTGAGGACTCATGTTTCCAGGCAGTATCACAGCCTTCTGTCTTTCAACCAGAGCAGCCTTGCTTATAGTGGTTTAAAAATCATGATTTCATGTAATTATGTTTTAAAACAAAAAGGTACTGGCAATTTAAAAAAAGTAGATGACATCTGTTTCCTGAGATGGTAACTGCTGTTTATTGGCATGCTCTGATGTGGTACTTGTTTGACCTGATCATCACAGTGGTTCTGCAGGGTTCCTAATGCTGTCCTCACCAGGTGTACCAGAAAAACAAAGCACACCCAGAATGGCTAAGGGAAGTCACCCCAGGGTAACAAAGTAAGTCCACATTGTTACTAAGATCAGAACCCTGTTCTTGCTGGGCTTGGTTGGGCATATCTGTAATCCCAGTGGCTTGAGAGGCTGAGACAGGAGGATTACAAATTCAAGGCCAGTCTAAGCAATTTAGCAAGGCCCTAAGCAATTTAGATCCTGTTTCAAATGAAAAACAAACAAAAAGGCTAGGAATGTGCTTAGTAGTGAAKCGCCCCTAGGTTAATCCTCCAGTACAAAACAACAACAACAAAACAGTTCTACATGTCCGGGAACCCTGGGTGTTTTGCTTTTAATATGTTAGTGTTTCCTAAGTCAGAGTTCTGAATGAGGAGGTTTTTAAGTTTGTTTGGCATTTGTATTTTTTTAAACTTGGGTGTTTTTTTTTTTTTAACTGATAGAGGCAATGGCAAATAAGCATGTCTTTTAAAAAGACAATCTTTTGGATTTTTTACCTATTCTTACCCTTGCCAAGAGAGCCACACATTTTATGTGAAGATTTCAAATTAAAATATTTATTGACAACTGATCTTAGTTAAGCTCTGGATTTTGATTCCCAGCCCATTTTAATGCACCTGTTTCAGTTTCATTGCAACATTCACAGAATCGAAAACTTGGGACCTAATGGGTTAAAAAAAAAAAAGTGGCAAGCAAATACGTGAATCAGGGGAACCATAGGCCAGTTTGGCTTGAAAGTTGCCAATTTGGAGCCTTACTTAATTTAAAAAAAAAAAAATTAGTAAATATCATTAGAAAGTAAGTAACTCTTCTAGCATTTTCCAGACATACTAATGGATGATGTAAAATATTCCATGACTAAATAAATTTAGGATATTCTGGATTGAGTAAACTTTTGGGATTTCCCCCACCTTTGTAGGAATCACAATTAATAATTTCACAGTATTTAACATATTGTACCATAAGATCATATTTTCTCTTTGGTAGAACATTTGGTTCATTGGCTCACAGTGGAGGGGGCATCATAAGCAATTGGGAGTTTTCTTAATGTAGGCATGTTTAAGCCCTGCTCTGGCAAATTTGGTATCGAAAAGCATATTAGATGAGAATACATACAAATAAAAATTTTAATGATGGGATAGAAAGATTGTGAGTGGTGGTATGATGATGCTCAGCTATTATTTTATATAATGCTCTTTTAGCATTAAAATTAATTACATTTTAAATTAAGTCTTGCTTATATGTGGTCATAGCTCCTTTTAAAATTRAAATGAATTTTTTGTTTCTGTTTTTAGGCACTTGCGTGTTTAGTTCAGTTTGCTTCTACAAGAAGGTCCTTATTTAGCAGTCCTGAACGTGCCAAGTACCTTGGTAATTTAATTAAGGGAGTGAAAAGGATACTTGAAAACCCTCAGGTATTTATGAAGTAATTTAATTAATACTTAGCATATAGAAATAATATTTCTGCTCAAAGGCAGATAATAAACTCATCATGAATTTATTATGATTCTGGAAGAAAATATTTAGTATTACATTCATCTTACTTAGGTCTCATTTGTAGTAGAAATGGGCAGTTTTTTAAAAATGGATGTTTCCATGGAAGACTTCTGTGTTCCTCTCCATTTTTTTCTTTTTAGGTGAATATGAAAAAAGGTCATATATCTTATTATGGTTCTGTCTTTTACCATTGTGCTACATTTCCTTGCCCACGTTGGTTAAACTATTGAAGTGATTAATTCAGGGTTATGTCCACCTGAACTAGAGGACTTAATATAAATTTAAGTATTAATATTGGGATAAAAGGTTTTAAATTATGAAATAATGTCTTTTTGCCCTCTTGTGGACAAATATGAGTTATCTATTCCACATTAACTTCAGAGATCCAGTGGCAATACCTATTTCAGAGAATTGCAAAGCCATAGTGATTTTGGATACCTAGATAAATATTTTGTTTCATTATTTATTTTTTTTCTGGTTTAAAATATCTGTAATTAAACTAYAGATTTTTAAAAGGTTAAATGGTAATTTAAAGAGGTTTACCTAAACCTCTTGGTTATTAATCACTTTTGGTGGGGACACAGATAATACTTTTCTACAGAAATAAAATGTGATTATCTCACAAAATTGATTATTTTGCAAGTTGTTCTCAGGAATGTTTGAGTTAAACATGTATTTTATCTTTTCAATGTTAGCGTAGCTGTGAATTTTATCTGTTTAGCTGGTAAATAGAATTTTTACCAACATAMTTAAGTTTTTAGTTGTTTAATTCTCTTGTCGTCAACCAAAATTGTGGAAATTACTATACCCATGTTAGATAATTCTATTAAGTGATTTTTAGCATCCCTATGTCAGTGTTTCATTGTAAAAACTGATCTTAAGTATTATATGTTTTAGAATTATAAACATGTATTAAAAAAACTATGATTATAAAATGTCTCTTTGGAATTCATACTTAATAATTAGACACTTTTAAAAYTCATTCTTTCTTCCTTTCTTGTTTTTTTTTTTTTAAACTGGGGATTGAACTTACAGGCACTTAACCACTGAGCCACATCCCCAATCTTTTTTTAAAATATATTTTTAATTTAGAGATAGGGTCTCGCTGAAATTTTTAAGGCCTCACTAAGATGCTGAGGGTGGCTTTGAACTCATGATACCCTGTCTCAGTCTCTGGAGCCGCTTGGTTTATAGGTGTGTGTCACTGTGCCCAGCAAAACTCCCCCCACCACCCCACCTGCAGTGCTGGGGATTGAACTCAGAGCTTCACACATGCTGTGGAAGGCACTCTATCACTGGGCTGCTTCTTTCATGGAGTGCCTATGAATGACATTTCTTAGGCTTGTTGAGTATTAAACAGACACTGCATAGAATTCTCTATCAGGCTAGCTACAGAGACTACAGAGTGGTAACTGTGGAGATGATAGCAGGTATTAACTGTGGAGATGTGTTCTGTTTTCAAGCAGCTTGTAGCAACTGGGGAGAACTTTCAAGGTCTTTTCCTTTTTAACCTGTTCTCCCTCATAAGTTACCTGTGTGTCCTGTCTTGTTGTTAAACTTGGTTCCCTACATGGCAGTAATTTGTTTGAATGACTAACACTTAAATACAATGCCTGTATTCAGAAAGTGTTCCATAAAAAGAAATTGTCTACTTGTGTGTACACACACTATTTAAGTCTGGTGTTAGTACTCCCTTCTCGGGTTTCAAGAGCCCATTCTTGTTTTTCATCTTAAATATTTTTCTCTCAGCCCTTCATCTTAAATACTTTTCAAGACCTTTGTTGACTTCTGTTTAGGCTATAATACACACACTCTGTTTTTGTGTAATAGGTTCCCAGATATATTTTTGTCTTTGTTGTGCAAASCTTCTTCCAAAAATTCTACTTTAGATTCCTTATTATGAATAATTGACAGCAATATTAAATTTAGCAAGAATCATTTGTTTTCTTACATTGCCTACCTAGTTGATGTAAGATACCATAGGTACCTCTGAAAACAAATAGAATACTTAATAAAATTCTTTGAAATTTAGTAGCTTTATTATCAATAGATTGGTTTATTTTAAAAGACTTACTTTTTGTCTCATAATTTAGGGTTTGTCTGATCCAGGTAATTATCATGAATTTTGTCGATTTTTGGCTCGTTTAAAGACAAATTATCAACTGGGAGAGTTAGTTATGGTCAAGGAGTATCCTGAAGTTATCAGATTGATTGCTAATTTTACTATTACTAGCCTACAGGTAAGTAAAAAAAAAATAATTGATGTTAAGCTGTACTTAGTTTTAGAACAATTTCTTGATAAAGGTTAGTGGGGGTGTTTTTTTTTTTTTTTTTTTTTAAATACCTGTTACTTGGAGTACTTTACTGAAAATGGTCTTTGCAAAGTTTTAGGTAAAAGAAATAATTATAACATTTTTAATAAGAAAAAATTGAAAAATCACTTAAAGTGGCTAATAACTGAAGAATAACTTAGAAGCTGTAATAAACTTCTATAAAATAATTTTTTACATACTGTGTTGTGGTTGAATTCTTTTCTTAAATTTGGATTAGGAATTTCTAAACCATATTTTCTATATGATGTTAATTCTATAAAAAATATATTCATGGAATGATTAAGAGGAAATAGTTTAACACTTAAATGTATTGTAACATTTTAATAGTGATAATCTCTGAACAGAATAATATTGTGGGATATTGGGTTCTTTAACATTTTTGCATTTATGAAATTTGCTGTATTAAGCATTCATTAGTCATATAATCAGAATAAAAGTTAATTTAAAAAGTAATTTTGCGTTGTATCTGTTATTCTAGAAAGGTATTAAGTTATTTTAAATTTCTTTTGCTCTGTTTCTTTGTAGCATTGGGAGTTCGCTCCAAACAGTGTTCATTATTTATTAACTCTGTGGCAGAGGATGGTAGCATCAGTTCCTTTTGTGAAATCAACTGAGCCCCACTTACTAGACACTTACGCACCTGAAATCACAAAGGCCTTTATCACGTCTCGATTGGACTCTGTTGCCATAGTTGTGAGGTATTAAAAACTAAATGTTTCTGTTGTATTTTCATCTTGGAGTTTTTTTAAATTAAATTAAAAGTTTACTCTCTTTAGGGTAAAGTTCTGTGAATTCTGATAAGAATATGCGTTTTTATAAATAACATCACAATTGAGATACTGAATAGTTCCATTAACTCTAAAGGTTTGTTTTTTTKGGGGGGGCGGACAGGAGGAGGACCCTTTGTAGTCCTCTCTGGCAGTAACTGTTATGTTTTGTTTTCCTGTTTGCATTTCTTTGGTGTAAGATTCCAGAGTGGCATCATTAAGTGTATATTTCACTTTATAAAAAGCTACTAAATTATTTTCCAAAGTTGCTTTAACATTTTGAATTCTTTTTTTAAAAAATACTTTCTCAGTTGTAGATAAACATAATACCTTTATTTTATTTATTTGTTTTTATGTGGTGCTGAGGATTGAACCCAGTGCCTCACACGTGCTGTGCAAGTGCTGTACCACTGAGCCACCAACCCCAGCCCCAGCATTTTGAATTCTTAACCTGCAATGTATAAAAGATGTATAGTAGTATCTCTTTGCGGATTTAATTTGCATTTCCTTAATGAGTAATAATGTTGAGCATCTTTTTATGTGTGTGACCATCTGTATGTATTCTTTGGCAAAGTGCCTATAAAATCTCATATCTGTTGCTCTTTTTTTTTTTTTTTTTTTAAAACAGGGTAATTTATTTCTTACTGAAATTTGAGAGGTCCATTTATTCTGTTCAGAAGTCTTATCATACATGTGTTTCAGAGAATATTTTCTCTCCTTTTTATTTTAAGTCTTGGGGGAGCAGAAGTTTTACATTTTTATGAAGTTCAGTGTATCCTTTCTTATGTGTTATATCATGTGTTTGGTGTTATATTGAGAATCTTTATCTTACTCAAGATCACAAAGATTTTCTTTTTTTCTTCTAGAAGTTTTATTTTTAAAATTTACATTGAAGTCTATGTGATCTTAGTAAATTCACCTATTTTGGTAGCATTTTTGCGGTTTCTTTGGCTTTTTCTGTGTGCATAATCAAGTCATCTTGATATATAGACATTTTATTTCTTGCTTTCCAAATCCATTTGTCTTATTTCTTTTTTTAATATTTTTAGTTGTAGTTGGACACAATACCTTCATTTTATTTATTTATTTTTATGTGGTGCTGAGGATCGAACCCAGGGCCGCACTTGTGTGAGGCGAGCGCCATACCACTGAGTCACAACCCCAGCCCTTCTTGTTTCTTTATCCATCATAGTTTTATTTAATGTAAAGTTTGTGGTGAATAAAAATACTTTCTGATGTTATCTACATGCTTATGTGTTCACAGAGACCATTTAGATGACCCACTGGATGATACTGCTACTGTGTTTCAGCAGCTGGAGCAGTTGTGCACTGTCAGCAGATGTGAATATGAAAAGACGTGCTCTCTTCTTGTACAGTTATTTGACCAGAATGCACAGAATTACCAAAAACTTCTTCATTCAGCTTCTGGGATAACTGTGGATATGGCAATTCAGGAAGGTCAGTAAATTTCATGAGTAATATGTTGAATATTAAGTGGTATCATTAATTACTTCATTGAATAATCTTAATGCAGATTATTTTCAGGTATTTCCCTCCAGTTTTTGGTCCCCTAATAAATCATTAATTTTATTAACCTGCTAGATATTTTGGTCGCTTGATAGTTAATTTTAAATTCTTTTTAAGATTCTTAGGAATACTTCTCTATAGAATCAATATCAAAAGAAATTGAACGGCTGGGGTTGTGGCTCAGTGGTACAGCGCTTGCCTAGCATGTTCAAGGGCCTGGGTTCGAGTGAGAGAGAGAGAGAGACAGGGAGAGAGAGAGAATTTTTTAAAAAAATATTTATTTAGTTCTCGGCGGACACAACATCTTTGTTTGTATGTGGTGCTGAGGATCGAACCCGGGCCGCACGCATGCCAGGCGAGTGCGCTACCACTTGAGCCACATCCCCAGCCCCCATGTCATTTTTTTTATAGTTTTATTTTGTTTATTTTTATGTGGTGCATAAACAAAATAAAACTATAAATATTTTTTAAAAAATTCTCTCTCTCTCTCTCTCTCTCTCTCTCTCTCTTTTAAAAAAAGTGACATGTTCTCATTAAAAAAAAAAAAAGTTGAAAATCATCCTTGAGCAGATAGTACAAAACTTTTAACTGTATGTTTTCATCTTTTCTATAGTCGATTGCAGATATCAGCCAGTAAACAACTTGTGTAAAACCTCCTTATGGTTTTACCTTGATGTATTAGCCTTCACCATGACTTTAATTTTTTTTTTTATTCCTCACTTTTCTCATGATTTTGTCTTTAATCCCCTATTAAAGGAGGAAGCATTTATTTCTATCTCTTTAGATTCTTTCAGGAATATGGCAGGGAATAAAAATAAAATACATTTTCACATTTTTTAAGTGAGCTGCATTTTAAGAATGGAACTGAATGCATACAATTCTAATAGAAGACAATTTGATTATAATTTTAAATTTTTTTCTATATTTGTTACCTTTACCTTGCATTGGAAAGTGAATTTGATAAAGGATCATGGTCAAATTTACGTCCAGTGATTGCCTATCTCAACTCTTTAAAAATATAATCTTTAGATTGTCCTTTACATTTGCATAACATTTTCTTAAGATGCCTTTTATTTGTATCACATTTTGAAGTTGCATAGTACTGCTGAGGGAGTATATTTAGGAGAGTACTAAATATTTTTTCTTACTGGAATATAATTATGGAAATTAAATGGGGGAAAACCAATACTTTGCAACATAATGTCTTCATTATTAATTTCTTTGGTAGAGCTTTGAAAGTTATTAACCATCAAATACATAGAAGAATACATTCATCTGTGTATGTAGACATAGAGAATAGCATTAATAAACATGATCACTTGTCTTAGAGGGTAAGTCAGAGCCAATGTCTTTGCAGCACCCCCTATTCATCTTTCCAGCTTCCTTCCTACCAGCAGAAGATACAATTTTGCATTTTGTGTTTACCAGTTGATGCCTTTTCTTCATAGTTGTACTGTATATTCTGAAAAGAATACATGGTTTGTATGTTTTTGAACTTGATACAAATGGAGTTTCACTGGACTTATTATTCTTCTATAACTTTATTATTAGTAGTAATGCGTTTTAAGAGCTTATAATGATGTGCGTAGTGCTCTCATTTTTATTGCCTTGCACTAATGTTTAAATATAGGACAATTTATGATTCTCTTGTCAATGGGTGTTTGTTGCTTTCTCAATTTTTTCTGATACATTCAGTGTTAGAGAGACTATTGGGTTTATGTGTTACATATTCAGCGTCAGTAGACAGGGTCAGACGCTTTTACAAAGTGCTTTTCCTAGTTTACATCCACCAACAGTCTGCAGGAGTTAGCATCGATCTATATCAGGAATTGGCAAACTTGTTCTTAAGGTGCCCAATAGGAAACGTTTTAGGATTCTGTTATAGCTATTCACTTCTGGTTTGCAGCTAGAAGCAGCTAGAGAGTGTATGTTTGACTGTGATCCCAGAAAACTTATTTTAAAACTGGAGGCTCTCACAGACTGTAGTTGACTGACCTCTGACCTAGACACTTACCAACAGCTCAAATTATAGACTTGAGTTTTTGCCAGTCTGGTTGAGAGAATATACCTGATGAATGTTTTACTTTGCTCTCTCCTGATAGAGTTTAGCATTATCTCATGTTTACTTACTGTTTTATCACCCTCAGTGAAATAGATGTGAATCTTTTGCTCATTTCCTCTTTACTTTTGGATTATTTGTCTTTCAATTACTGACTTTAAGAGCCCGATAGGTAGACACACAGATTGATTTGTGTGTGTACAGTGCAGGGGATAGAACCCTGGGCCTCATGGGTGCCATGCAAGGGCTCTATCACAGAGCCACACTTCCAGCCCCTTTTTATGTTTTTGACACAAATCCTTTTGGTTTTAGAATTGTAAATACTGTCTTTTAGTTTTGTGACCTGTCTTTGCATATCATTTTAAGATGTCTACTCATTCTCTTAAACATTTTCACATTGAACTAATTTCAATTAATTCATCAAATTCTTTGTATTTACATTGTCAAAAAATTAAAAAGCATTCTTTTTCCTATCATCTTCACTCTTGCAAGTGATCATTCTTACTAGCTTTATCTTTCCAGTTTCTATATGCTTATACAGAAATAATTACATAAAGTCTTATCTTCTCTTATTTATATAGAATATGCTATACCATACTCACTGTTCTTTTTTGTTGTTGTTGCTTTTTTTCATTTGACAATGTGTTTTATATCTGTTTTCAAATTACTGTATAATGAGCTCTTATATTTTATAGGTCTATAATATTTTACTTTTTAATGTGTCATAATTTATTTTTTCTATTATGATAGTCATTTGAGTTATTTATAGTCTTATTAAAAACTTTGCTGTATAGATTAACTTTTGTATATTTTATGTGTGTGCAAGTTCATAATATAAATTTATCAAAGTGAAATTGCTCTTGGTGGAATGGTTAATGTATTTGTAATTTCACCAAGTTGTTTTCTATAAGGGCTATCCTACTTATCTTTCAGCAATGTGTGAGACTGTTTCCATGTACCCTTCATAGGACAGCATTACCAAGCTTTTGGAATTTTGGCAGTCCTATCTATGAAAAATGCTTTCTCAGCATAATTTAACATTTGCGTTTCTCATATCAGTTTAAATGTTAAAATTTATGTAAGAACCAATTGATCGTTCATTTTTGTAAATGAAGTATTCATTTCTTTTGCTCATTTTCCATTTGGATTATTAGTTTTTTCCCTCTTTATTTTCTAAGAGCTCTTTAAACTTTGTCTAATGAAAATTACAAGTATCTTTCTCCTTTAACTTATTAATTTTCAAGTTACAGTTTGATGGATTTAGCATTTATACCCAGCTGTGTATCTCCATGTAACTACCACCTCATTCGGGATGGAAGAGTTCACTCTCAGTAATTTTCTCATGTCCTTGATGGCTTCCTGTAATTCCAGGTCTAGGCACGGCTAGTATAATTTCTGTCACTGTGGTTTGTCTCTCTTAGATTTGTATGTAAATGGAATCGTACAATGAGTAGTCTTTTGTGTTTGACCTTGTGTGGCATAATATTTTTGAGATTCAAATGTGTTACTATATTGATATTTTGTTCTTTTTTATTACTGCACAGTTATCTATAGTATGACTATCATAGTTATGTATTCACCAGTTATGGACACTTGAATTGTATTTTCAGTTTTTAGCTGATATAAATAGTGATATTGTTAACATTTGTGGACAAGTCTTTATGTGTCTTTAGATTTTTATTTCTCTTAGGTAAGTAAGTGTGAGGAGCCACTCTGAATGACCCACGCCTTCCAGTCCTGAAGCAAGAGGCTCTGACCAATCACCACCTGTGTGGTGACTTGGGTGTTGTCCCAGTTGAGATAGCAAAGGCAGGACTTCAGATATAGGCGTTGCCCCTGGGGTTGAGTTACACTCATCTGACCTTTGTAACCATGCCCCTTCTGGCCTTTTTTGGATAGAACTTTCTAAAGAACAAGAGTTCCCCCCAATAAAAGCCCACTTCCGAAAATGCTCGCTCCCTCTCACCAGCCTCTTGTGACTTTCTCTTGCTCTCCCTTTTGGGGAGCCTGAGGCCSAGAGTGGAGAAGCCATCCTGAAGCTTGTGTAAAGGTAAATTGTGTCTGTGTTTTATCTGGTGTCCCTGCAAATTCACACGAAGGACCTTAAGTTCAGCTGCCTATGCAGGTCAGGGGTGGCAAATAAGGTGGATGTTGTATCATAGGGGACATGTGTTTTTAGTAGCATGCGATACTGCTGTACTGTTTTATGAAATATGTGTATAAAATTTCATTCCCATTAACCATATTAAGAGTGTTATTCTACATCCTTATTTTCCTTTGATGTTCTCTGTCCTCTTAACTGTAACTGTTCTACTGAGTGTCTAATGGTATCTCATTGTGTTTATAATTTGCATTCCACTAATATTAATGATGTTGAGTACCTTTCATGTGCTCAGCATGAACTCTTTTGTGAAAAGTCTGTTCACCTCACCTCTTTTGTTCATTTTTAAATCAGCCAATTGGTTCCTTTCCATATGCTTTTATTGTGGGATTGTAAGAATACCTTACATTCTATAGAGGATCCTTTTTTCACATGTTTTGCAATATTTTCTTCTGATCTGTGGTTTGCCTTCCTAACTAGCTTTTAAAGATCGAGTTTTTAGTTTTGATTGTCTACTTTTGGGCTGGGGATGTGGCTCAAGCGGTAGCGCACTCGCCTGGCATGCATGCGGCCCGGGTTCGATCCTCAGCACCACATACAAACAAAGATGTGTCCGCCAAATACTAAAAAATAAATATTAAAATTATCTTTTTYTCTCTCTCTCTCTCTCATTCTCTCTTAAGGAAAAAGTAGACAATCTTTTTTTTTTTTTTAATCTGGTATTACTGTTTATCTTATCTGGTATAACTACAACTGCTGCCCTCTTACTGC